ACCAGTTGTTAGGCAACTGGCATTAAAAGAGAAAATAAAAGGAGGAAGAGAGAAATAAACAATACTAAGAAGTATTTGTTTTTGGTGTGACTTAAACCTTACAAGGTGCCTCTATATATATAGCATAAGGAAGAGGCAAGCATTACAAACTAAGCAATGTGGGACTTAAGAAGTAAGCATTACAAACTAAACAATGTGGGACTTTTATGCTACTACAATTTTAGAACTTAGACTACACACTTAACAGTAAGCACTAATGCTCCTTAATTTATTTGTTTACTTTAGTCCCACGCAGTACACATCATACACACTAGCTGTGTTAAATCTAATACCATCCTTAATAATGTTCATAGCTAGTCCAACGCAAAACAACATAAGAAGAAAGGCAATAAATAACAGAAAAGTGAAAAAATACACAAGGCTAAGAAAATAAAGAATGAGAGAGTAATGAAAAGCGCACCCCCTGAATCCTCTTTCCAGTGACGGGGCACTTGGGTCCGCTAGCCCTCTTCTTGGTGGTCTGGTAAACGAGCTTACCACCTGCATTATTCCAACAAGGAAAACACGAAAACAAGAACACGTTAGAATGAATTGAGAAGGCGAAAAAATTGGTTGGATGAGAAGGTGGTGATTAGGTAGAGGAATTGATTACCAGGGGTCTTGACAACTCTGTGCTGGTTGGACTTTGTGGCATAGCTGTGCCGCTTGCGATAGGTGAGACGCTGCACCATCTTCGATCACGCTCTGCGCCTGTGCTAGGGTTTTCAGAAGACGCACAAAATGTGCCGCAGGGAGAGATATAAAAGAGAGATTGCAGGGTTTTGTTTGCCCTATATCTAACGGCTCCAGAGACACGCTCATCCATTGCCGTTAGATGGATCTTCCTCTATCTTAAAAGTTTAAACCCCAAATTTTTAATTTATAAAATTATTTTATACATTAATTTGAATTAATAAAATAAAATATAAAATTATTTTTAAGTTTTTTTTTTTAATTTTCAGATTTAATTCGTGTATTAAGAACTTTAAGTTCAACAGTTGAATTATGAGTTATTAAATAAAATAAGTCTAAAAAGACCTCTTCTCTTAATATAATAGTTTAAATATATATGTAATTATTAAAAACAAAAGTTAGAAAAAAAATAATTATTCATAACAACATACATAT